TATGACTAGGTGGAAAAGAATGAATGCCTCCCTTCTCCCAACCTCCCATGGGATGGATTAAGAAAAAAATCAGTCCTGGGAGAAGGAATGGATATGATGCTGCTTCCTCCAGCTTCCCCTGATCACCCTGTGGGGCAGGAGGCACACCCTGACATTCTGGAGGCCCCCGTTTCAGTGCACCTGTCTGGCAGAGGGGGGATGGACAGGGCAGGTTAAGAGCACTGCCATGGGAGGGAAGTTGGTGGTAACAAAAACCCAAACAAGAACTGCTCCCTGGGGTCACCACAGACAAGGTAAATGAAGGTACATGTGTGGCCTGGGCTATAGATAGGACAGGGAACGTGCCACTTCTGAAGAGGGTTTATTCCTCTTTTAATCCTTTTCTGCAACAATGGTTTAAAAGGGAAGGGTATTTTAAAAAAATTACAGTTCCCTAATTTCATCTATTATACCTGATGCATTTTTATATTTAACGTTACCTATGAAAATGAGGCTTGCTTTGTTGGTGCATATTTAAAAAGCAAAATGATAGTGATTTATTATGTTTAGTAAAAATGTAAAGTTCACATAAAGCTGCAATTATAGTATAAATAGATGAAAATAGAATTTAAAGGCCATTTCAGTGCAGAATTGATGCAACTGCCTTTCTGTTGCAGCTCAAAAATAAACTCAATATACCAACTGTGAGATTACTTTTTTTCTAATGTGGATGTTCACGTGGCTTGTAAAGGAAGTTTAAACATTTTGCATTTTCTTCTTTTTAATGTTTACAGGTATACTCTTGGTGTCAGAGCATTTTTTAAAAAATTAAAAATTCAAGGTATTTTAGCCTCTGTTAGGAGGGGAACAATGTTTTCTTTATGAAGTTAACATTAATTTGACTGTCAAGAGTAAATGCTTGAATTTTTTATCTAGGTAAATGATTTCATAGATTAAGAGTGAATAGGCTGTGTATTTTCTTTAAATACAAAACATTAATTTTCTACTAGTCCCAACAATAGCTATAACTAGAAGCTGCTTAAAAAATAAAGTGTACAGATTGGAAGAGACCTGACATTTTTTAAATATGGTATTTATCAAGATTTAAAATTTGCAGGCAAAAAAAAAATAAGATGTAATTGCACTGTCCTGGAACCATAAAGATAGTTATCATGTCCAATCGTGACAACAAATAGCAATAATAAATAAACATGAACTTTTGCCAAACAAAAAATTTAGGACTAGGAAAAATGATTCCTACTAAACAACCACTATGTTAAATTCAAAAAGAAAGGTGGCAGCATGCAAAAATCCATCTCAGCATCTTATCATTCCACTATAAAACGACATACACTATAGGCCTTCGATTTGAAATGAATTTTAATTATGTATTTACAAGTACTTTTAAATATCTGTTATTATTTCAAGCTAATAAAACAGAAAGGCTGACACTTTGTGGTATCTACGTAACCCTTCAGTGCCTGTCCTAACAAAACCCTGTCGTCCTTTGCAGTTGGCACTGGAGGCAGAAACTCTTGATGACCACGCAGGATTTTTGCACACAGCTCCCACGACCCACCTGCACTCTGCCTGCCACGGACAGGATCTAAGGCCAGGGCACAGGGTAATTTTATCCTGTTCACTGCCAAACCCCTGCCATGCCCACAAAGAGCAGGACTAGTTACCCTGATGACTTCAAAGTTCGTGACAGTTTCTGCTGCAGCCACACAAATGCACTTTATGAGCAAGCAACCAGAGCAATTTCCTCAGGCTGCTTTGCATCTTCTGCTTCCCTGTTCCTTTAATTTCGTTTTAAATGAAAAGGAAACAGAGATTTGTCCCTGCTAAAGGACAGTGGAGCACCGAGGAGTCTGATTATTTTAAGATCTAAGTGCCAGAAACGTGGGTCCTCTGCCACTCACTTATGCTACTTGCTCACCAAATATTCTAGAAATAAGCTTATTTCTCTACTGAACTTCAGCACGTGGTAGGATCTCTCAAACCTGATGGTATGCAAACACTGGGGTTAATTATCAGAGAAGTGTGAAAGAGGAGAAGGATTTTCTAAAGGTCTAGTCTCTTTCTTCAAAGCTTTAATTTTAACCATGCCAGTCTGAAGTTTACATAGAACCTAAATACATCTGGAAGACTTTATTCTGGAATAATTGGGATGTAATTTCAATCAGGGACCGAAAATTTAATAACTACTTTACAAAAGTAAAAGAAAAGCAATGAAGTCATTAGTGTTCCAGTCAGGCTTCCCAGGAAAGCATTAAGCTAAAAATCTTTTGAGAACTCCTGAAAGGAAAGAAAAGGGTGAAGGAGAAAAGATTAAGTAGCAGCTCACCCTGAGAAAGAGGAGCTGATGCATCAGTGGGCACTGGTAAAGTGTGTGCCAGTATCTCAAATTCTCTGGAAGGCGAGCAGGGCACGTGGTTACATGGCTTTGTGTTAAACTGGAAACCTCATCTTATTTTTAAATCTTCAGATTTCACAGTACTGATCTCATTAAGCCACTGTTTTCACCTTGTAATTGCAGTAAATGGAGTGATGTTGCACTCCACAGTAAAAGCTGTGGAGTGATGTTGCAAGTGAATGATGAGTATTTAATAATTGCCGTGGAACTACATTTAACTGCACGTCTAAACTGAATTGAGTGGTCAAATGCAGTGGTGACACGGCTGACTTGACAAAAACATGTCATTAGTCCTTAAAAGTAAACACTGTAAGATTAAGTAGCAACAGAGAAACTATTGCTGCTTATTTATAAAGGCAGGGAAGAAAAGCTTTCCCTGTCACCAAATGTTTTTTTTTTTTCTATCAGTTAAAAAAAAAGGAAAATCAATGAATCTGCTAGTCCTTCAGGTGAGATTTTTCTATGCAATTGCGGCCATCAAAATACAGCTGATGTGTTACTTTTATACATCAGATCACGGACATGTGCTGAGCACCAAACAAAAGTTTGCTTAGACAACAAAAAATTATGATCACCAATGTAGTTATAAATAAATGAGATACAAGAACTTCTAATATTTCATAAGAAATTTGCAACATTCTCCTATGCTTGCAATACAGCAAAATTGAGCAATTTTGGAAAAGATTAAGCAAGACAATAAACAGCTTTTCTACTTAATGACAGGTTCTGAGAAAGAAAACTATGAAAGCAAACTTGCAAATTGCTAAAAATGCCAGACAAAAATAGAAAGCAAAGTGTCAAATGATCTTTGCCATTTGCTCAGACAAAAAAAAAAGAGAACAAAAATGAAAAACTCTCTGAGCATAGATAATCTGAACCAATGTCCTACATGTGATCACAGCTTCCTTTTAATGTTGAATAAAGCATAAGAGTAGAAGATGGGGGATGTTCAAAAATACTCTCTGCTATCATAACCTTAGAGTTGATTAACTGAAAGGGGAGGATTGAAATTTCAGCTTTCCAGTAACAGTCTGATGTCACTTCAAGCAAGATTGTGCCTCTGTATTTGTCTCTGACTACCTTAATCTGTATATTTGCAGTGAACATCAGGAAGACTTTGATCAAAACACAACATGCATTTTACACAACAAGGAAGTCTACAGAGAGGCACTACATTTACAAAAGCAATTGAAGGTGGTTTCAAAGGGAGTTGACAGATTAGAGGATGATGACACTGCTGCTGCAGTCTCAATGGAAATCTGGCTTGATCTAATTAACAACTACGAAGTAGAACCACAAGAAGATAATTCAAACATGATTTAAAGAAGTTATATTACCTTTTTACTAGTGTAGCAATGGAGCCTTTCCCTACTGATCACAGAACAAGTCACAGGTTCAACACTGAAGAAGAATAAAAGGCCCGATATCCTTAATTTACCTCCAGCATTTGAAAATGAAGTCAGAAATATCTGACTACAGAAGTAGAAAACATCCACATATTCACATAAAAATAATAAAAAATTGTAAGAGTCCCACTCACAACTTGAGTGAATTGGTGAATCGAAATGGAAGATTATTTGAAGAGGTGACTGTGTTAGTGAGTGTTCTGAGGTCTGAACAGAGCAGAGGCAATGCAGCACAGCACACAGGACAACCTGCATACTTCCCTTGGCACATCTGTGTACATGCACAGAAAGCTCCCAGGTTATTCCCATCTCCTTTTCGTTCAGATTCCTCACCCTAGGAAAAAATGCACTGGGAGGAGAACTTCCCACCAAGGCTGAACTTCTCCAGGCTTGCAGTTTAAGGCAGCAGCAGTGCCAGGGGCTGATTTGTGCTGACATCTCCACAACTGTCAGCACGAGGTGACTGCTGCCTGCACACGGCCTTTAGCACAGGACTGTCTGTGAGTCTGAGCTCTGATGCACCTTTTGTACTAAAAATACTTTTACTGGCACCTGGGGACATGGTTTAGAGGTAGACTTGGCAGTGCTAGGCTAATGGTTGGATTTGATGATCTGAGAAATCTTTCCCTACCTAAATGATTCTATGATTCTGTGGGTTCTTCTGTCTTCTCTGAATGACAACTGTTGTCACTGAGAGAACGTAACTTGTGCTTATGTGCACATGTATGCTTATACACACGTGTACAATGACATATAATCATCCTGCCAGGCAATCATTCTGACATTTTCCACTGGTTGCATTTTTTGGGTGGGAACTACAGCAGTGATTTACTTCATTTACTGAAAAATGCAGCAGCCATTTGGTACCATTCTGAGGGTTGTCTGACCACCTGAAAGACAAGGAGATAGGGAATCTCCAAATAAGTGAACTGTTTTATTCTCTTTGCAGTTATCTTCCTGCCTTTTAACCTTTGCTCACAAAATGAGGGAAAAAAAAAAAAACCAACCCTTCTTATTGCAACTGGCAGTATATATTTCCTTTTAATATTATTAGATAGAAATAATACTACCTGAATAGCAAAGTGGCAACTGCAACTCAACACTTCCTTCAGGATACAGCAGTTATACAGTACATAACTCTCTCTATTAATTCAGGCATTTCTCCTCTCTGGTCCTCAACATGTTCTGTGTATTTTTACCTTTGTGTCATAATCTTGTAGGCGTCCGGCAGGAAGCATTCTGTGTTCTCCATCTGGAAGGGGTCAGCATCACAGATCTTGTCGTCTGTCCGCCCATAGTTGGCACTCTCTATCATGATGACATCGCTGCCCGGGCACCGCAGGTCGATGGAGTAACCTTCGCAGGAGAGCTCCCTCCTCACCAAACCGAACGGGAGTGCTGCCCGGCTGAAACCTAGGCAGGGGAAGAAAGGGGGAAAGGGGATTGAACCCAAAGGATAAATGGCACTGGACTCCTCCCTTTCTGTCACACCAGCACTGACTCCATCAGCGTGCTGAAGGCAGGGCACCCTTACGCGGTTTGACCTGGTACCACATCGAGTGGAGCATCTTTCATGGAACTGTCACATCCCTGCATCACTGCTGGGTCCTTAATCTGGGAAAGGAGGAAGTTCCTTGTCACTGCTTCTAATCCTGGTGCAGGCAGACAGTGGAGCCTGTCTGCATGACTACACTGCACGTTCCACTGCCCACCTCTTTTCTCTCTGCTCCTGTCTCCACTCCTTGGGCACAGTCAGACAGGCTGTGTCTGAAGGCAGCAGAGCAGGCAGGATTTGCAGAAGTGATTTTAAAAAAAGAAACAAAACAACCACAAAAAAAACTAAAGCCATAGTTCCAACTTCCAACTTCATTAGTCTTTCTTACTTTGTGTCTCACTCTCTCCAGGAAGAGTTGGTTACTCTTGCTTAGCTATTTTGTGACTTGATTCAATACACATGCTGATACTTTACCTGGTTGAACTTCAGTGCCCCCCACTGTCTTTTACATAATTAAACCACATATAGATAAGATTTTGAACAAATACAGAAATGATTAGTACCACAAATTGCAGATGTGTACTGCACAAAATCTCCCCCTCCCAAAAATGATACATCTGTTTCATGGAATTCTCATTTTTAAAATGCTTTTTCTACATAAGAGAATTTCTAAAAATAAGTAACTTCCCTAGTGAAGTAGCACAAAATACTTTAGAAACAAAACAAGGTTCAGTTATTTATCCACGTGTTTAGTCTTTTAGAGACATTTCTTTATGCAAAAAATATATTACATCAGAAGAAAAACTATCTGTATACTACAGTTTCTTGTACACAGTTACTGATGGATTATTATCAGAGTATTCCTGTTTCTTACAAATCTGTGTGCATTACTGCCTTTTGGAGGACAAGCTGGGTAACATGGTAGTGCCAAAATCCTATTTCCTTAAAACAGTAAATCCTTCCTAAATTTTTACTAGAATTATAGATATTTCCTATTTTTTAAAAATGTCTTTGTAACACAGTAGCACAAGGCCATTAATATTTCAGTGCAGGCTGTTGGAGACCAGTTGTGACAGCACAGAGGAACAGCTCCTACATATGGAAAGTTGGAGCTCCACGGTGTTTTGAAGGCAAGGAAAATAAACTTTTCTTAAAAAGTATGATGTGTTAGAAGAGGCAAGGAAATAAGATCTAAAAAAACCACAAGACAACTTGAGATAACCCTTTGATAGGAAATTTTCACACGAACCAGAGGCTGTCACTTTTTCTATTGAATTAATGATCTGTGGATTAAAACTCCTACCGTATGAAGATGATTATCTGTTCAGGCTGCAAAAATAAAGTTTTTTATAACTATCACGCCAGATAGAGCCAATCCCCCCATCCACCCCTCCAGTACCTGCATGTCCCTGCCTTCCCCTGGCACCAGCACCAGCCTTTGTACCCCTTGTGTATGATCTGACACGAGGGGCTGGTGTGACCCCATTTTAGGAGAACCGGTGAGTTCCAGAAGGAGCAGCTCCTGCACTGGCCCTGGATTCCCCTGGCATGGGGGAAGCAAAAGGCAAGAGCACAGTGACCAGCTCTGCCTTCACCTAATATTCTGTGGGATCATCTCCTACATGAAAGCAGCCCCGTTACCCTGCCAGCACGTTTCAGGGTTTGCTGATGGGGGAGCTGGGAAAGCACCAAGTGCCATCCCCAGCTCACTCCTGGCCACAGTTCAGCCACACATACCACGAGCAATAACACACACTATTATTAGAGGCTTGCTGAAGTGTCACGAGCTGAAAGCTGGGAAGAGCTGAAACACGAATCCGTCACATTTACACCCTCCATGTTCCTCCCATGCAGCAAATTAATACAAGGAAGGCAGAGGCTGCTCCTGGCTCAGCGAGGGGGTGAGGTGGGCACAGGGAGGGCACAGCAGAGCCCCCCCGCCACGGGCACACAGCAGCTCCTCTGATCAGTGACCACCGTGACAGCCACGGTGGGACCCAATGTAATGCCACTAGTCACTGCCATTGCTGCATCCCCCCTCCTGTCAGCTCTAGTGCTGTCCAGATAAGCTCACCCCTCCAGCTGGCAGCACTGGTGCCCACATCTCCTGCACTCACCACGTGTGGCACCACCACGGCCTGGCCGGGGAGCCCACTGCTCCCAGACTCCTTGAGTTTCCATCAGCAAGGAGGGGAGCAGCTCCTACAGCTGCCCAAAGAGGTGTCTGACCAGGGCAGGAGGGCAGGGGCAGGGTGGGCAGGGCACAGCTGCAGCACATGCCACACCGAGCTCCCTGTGACGGGCACCGACCTCACGGACCCTGCAGCACAGGCTCCACTTCTGCCAGGAAACATCCTGAATTCAAACACAAGACCTCTGCAGCTTGCTACAAAGAAATCAGCTGCCTGCAAATCTTATTTCATCATCTATGGCAACCACTATAAGGACTATGAATGCGTTTTATCCTGCAATTTTTCCCCCTGCAGGCATCCGTGAGAAGTTCTGTATTAGAACTTCTGTATTAGAACAAACATAAAAAATACTAGAGCAAGGTTAGATCACTTCACAGGCAACAGAGGACACACCTGAGATTGCAATGTAGGTGTTACATTGCAAAAGCAGAAAGCAATAAAGCAAAACAACGCAGCGTATGCTAGGTGGGAATGCTGCTCTAAGGAATCTCTATGGCGCAGAAAGAATTTTAACTAAATAAAATAAATAAATTTAAAGTCCACTGGCAGAGCTGCTGTGATCTTTATGCTGAAGCTTTATTTGTAATTTTCTCCTATCACCAAAGAAAAAATAAGTGTATCAACAAGCAAAGTGTAATTCAATCCATCTTGCAATCCTGACAATCGAAGAAAGAACTTGTGGGAGGCCCTGTGAGTGAAAAATCAATATTGCAGCTTTGTGCCGTGCAAATGTGAATACTGCCAAATAGCAGTGCTTAGGGTACAATGAACTGTTTTGCTCCATTTTCTCCTCTCTGAACAAATGATTTTGAAACGACAGCTTCTTTTGGAGCTATAAAACGTCGAGCAATAACTCCCCGCGCTTTAGGCAAGCGATTGGAATAAATACCTCTTGGCAACAGGTGCAATGACTTAGGACTGAAATTCATTTACATTCAGGAGATAATTCCCGATAAACAGATGCACTGCCACAGGATGGAAGTCTGAGCAACCGCCATGTGAATGTTTCAGCATCATTCCAGAGTTCCTCAGGCTCAAGCGTGTGGCTCTGTAATAATGGATGCTGTCACCAGTAACTCTGGATCTCCAATGCAATTCCCCGTGAGTGTTCTCAGCACTGCATTTTCTAACCAACCTGCACTCAACCTGCTCTTGCCTCACTGTACCTGGAACAAACCTATTTTGTTTGGCAGCCGAAATCAACGTTCCTCCTCTTCCTGCTAAAGGTTTCAAGGCAAGCTGTGCCCCGGCTGACAGGGCTCCTGCTGCTGCCACCCAGAGACACAACAGCTTCCCAGCTGCAAAGACCTTCCTGGGGCTTGGGCTGGGACTTCCAGCACAACCTAAACACTGACCCGAGTCTCTTACCACACGCACCATATGCTGTCTCTGATTCACTCTTTGTGTACATTAATCACTGCTGGATGTGACTGGTTTTGTGCTTTGTTTTGTTTTTTTTTTCAAAAATGGAAGAAGATTAATATCTAATGAGAAAAAGAGCATTGTTTCTGTCCTGCTGACCATTTTGATTATAGAAAAGCTTCCTGGCAAACATATGTTTCCTGCACTCCATATCTGCCTACAGATTAGTTGAGTGCAGGCTCTTTACTGAGAGGAGAAAATAAACTGCTTTTGCAAAATCGCGTTTCCGAGGAAAAAAGGTAGAGGGGATTTTTAGTGGTAATATACATTCTTTAATGCTTTATTGATCAATGTACGTAGAAAAACAAAATGAAAGGAAACATCACAAACAAATATCTTTCCTCTGATATTTTAGCATATCAAATAAAAAAATACAAGTTCTATGAAAGGACTGTAACTCAGAATCACGTTTCAGAAATATGGTAAATTCACATTTGGCTAAAAATTTTTAACTCGAGTTTGCAACGCCTTATTTACCATTCTACTGTCTTGGTTCCTCCAGAGAAACTATTTGTCTTTACAAGGATAACCTAAATTTGTCAAAGTGCAAAGAAAAGTTAATAATTCACAGCATCCTGCCCACTTGCATACCATCTTTCTGAGCTGTCAATAATAAGAGAGTGTGCTAAGTTTGGTAGATAAAAGCAAAGAGGCACCACCACATTTGAATGTTCACCCCATACAGAGGAAAAACAGTGGAATGTAAACAGGCTAACATCAGTACTCAACATCAGAAGCAAGGAACCTTTGATTAAAACTTAAAGCATAGAGAAAGTCAACATGGAAATACAACATTATTTAAAAAATGCAGATACTTGAAGAACTGAGAATCCAAAACAAATCTCTGCAGAAATAAATATATATATATATGTCTCTGTGAGCAAGGAAATACTGCTTCTTGTGTTATTTGGCTGTAACAGAAAGGTCTTTTGAAAAGAGCACATCTTTTCAAGCAGAATGTTTACAGTTGTCTCTTTCACAATCTCTTTTATTTTACCATATCATGCAACGTGATGATTTAAGTTCTACACAAGATGAAGTGATGCGTCCCGGGCAGCATTTCAATAATATATATTTAACAAATGCAAAGCCCGACGAAAACTGTGCTGAGAATTCCCTCTCTCTCCAGCGAAGTGCATGCGTGCACACACGGGAGGGTGCAGGGAGACAGCTGAACACACTCTGCCATCTGAAAATCATGCAAATGCTCAACATGGGCCCTGCAAAGCTTTTACAATTCCACAGACAAGCCTCAGCATCCTGCAGTTTCTAAAGAATCCCATGAACTTTTCTCCCCGTCTCTC